CCACCGCGGGGGCGCGCCCTCGGAGGGCGACCTCGGCTCCGTGGGCCTGCCGTGCTGGCGGGCGAGGGCTCCGTGTCGAGAAAGGCTCGCCGCTGATCCGCCCAGCGGTGCGAAGTGCACAGATCCTCCTCCTCTCTTCCTCCTCCTCCTCATCTTCCTTCTCCTCCTCCTCCTCCTCCTCCCCCTCCTCCTCCTCCTCCTCCTCCCCCTCCTCCTCCTCCTCCTCCTCCTCCTCCTCCTTCTCCTCCTCCCCCTCCTCCTCCTCTTCGGGGAAGGCTCAGAAAACTTCTCCGAAGGCCTGGGGACTCCCGGGTCACTGCAGACCCGGGTCAGCCGGGCGTTGCAGGCTCCTGCAGGATCCTGCAAGATTCTGCAGGATCCTGCACCCAAGCCTTGGCCAGTGCACCCCTGCCCCTGCAGGAGCCCCTGCAAGGTCTGGCGCTCTGGCGGACCCCCGCTTGCACGGACCCCCGTCTCCGAGCTCCTCCCGAGCAGAGGCAGGATCACACCGCCGGAGGGCGTGTTCCGCGAGATCCCCGTTCCGAAATGGAGCCGCTCTCCCTCCGTGCGTCTATCGAGGTTACTCTTCAGCTCTTGCTCATCCAGGATGAAGAAGACTGTACTCCAGATTTCGTAATAAAGGGAGGGGGGGTCTCATTTCGGGGGGGGTCTCTTCCAGGCTATCTTGGAGGGCCTGGGGGGGTCTGGGGACGATGTTTTGGAGGGTTCTCCCACGGGGGAGGTCTGAAATGGCTTGTCTTGGAGGGTCCAGACCCCCTCCCTTTTATTACGAAACCTGGAGTAGCAATAACGCGAATGTGAAAGCAGCAGCCCGCCATCTGTGCAACTATGTGAATCATTGTTGAGTGCTGCTCAACTCCGGGCCATGCAACTTGAGGAGGGCTCGATGGACAAGCCCATTCTGCAAACGAATCTCTCTTTCCATCCGTGTGGCCGCCGGAAGCTTCCAATGATTGTGCTCGGTGCTGAGGCGAGAGCCACAATTTGAAAGACGCCAGCCCTCCGTCAGTGACTGTTCGGATTAGTTATCAAGCTGCATGATCACACTGTGCGGAAATATCAGGCGAACCGCCTGGCCCGCCCTACGCACCGACGCGTCTGGTCGTGCGACGAGGAAGTGCTTCATGGAGGAAACTTTCAGGGAGGCGGAGATGGAGCTGTAAGAGCGGGAGGAGGAAGAGGAGGAGGAGCAGGAGGAGGAGGAGGAAGAGGAGGAGGTGGAAGTGGAGGTGGAGGAGGAGGATGAGGAGGGAGGAGGAGGAGGAGGAGGAGGAGGAGGAAGAGGAGGAATAGAAATAATACTAATACTAATAAGACGGATACTAATAGGACTAATAATAATACTACTAGTAACCTCCATCCTCCCTTCTCCTCCTCTTCTTCCTCCTCCTCCTCCTCATCCTCCATCCTCCATCCTCCTCCTCCTCCACCTCCTTCAGGGGGAGGATACAGAAGATGAGCGGGATAGAGTCTGCTCGATGGACTCCCCGAGCGGAGGCCCAGCTAGGGCCGAAAATGCAGAAACACCTTGGCGGCGGCGGCCCCAGCGACACGCTACGCTATGCCTTGGCAGGTGGATTGCGTGTCGCTATGCTCCGCGGGGCGGGGGGATGGGAAAAGCTCAGGACTTCGACGCCTGGGGACCAAGACGTGGTTAGCGTGTCGCGCCGCGGCGTGGTGGGCCAAAACCGGCGTCGCGACACGGTAAGCAAAGACTCCTGACCGTAGCCATCACGGGGCAAGCCCGTTTCGCTCGAGTCCCCCTTCGCCCTCTGGCCCGTTTCGCCCAGCCCGCTTCGCCCTGGCCCGCTTCGCCCTGGCCCGCTTCACCTTGGCCCGCTTCGCCCTGGCTCCCTTCGTCCTGGCCGCTGCCTCTCGCCGTGGTCGTCGCTGGTCGTGGTCGTCGTCGCCGCTCGTCGCACCCTCTCTTCGATGTCGCTCGTCGTCGCTGGCGCGATCCGCCCCGCAGAGTCCGCCCCGCCAGACCCGCCCGTTCGGGGCTGCTTGCCCGTACGCTTGCATGCCCGCCTGCCCGCTTTGATGTCCCGCCTCCCCGACCCGCTCGTTATGGTCTGCCCGCCCTCCCGCCCGTTCAAGCCTGCTCGCTCGTCTGCTTGCAAGCCCGCCCGTCCGCTTGGATGCCCCGCCCGCCCGACCCCCCCGTGAGGGCCTCCGCCCTGTTTATTTTCAATGCGCTGGAGGTCTGGGAGCAACTGGGCCTGTTTAAGGTGCAACGAAAGGGGGGGGACTGGCTCGGGGGGGAACGTCGACCTGGACTCGGCGACACATCGCCGACAGAGCTGCGACAGGTCTCCGATAGCCAATCCGCAAGCTCCTGGGCGGGGTGGGCTATCGGGCCCCTGTCGGCGATCAGTGGGCCATTGGGTTCGATGCGTCCTTCCTTGAGCCTGTCCCCCCTCTGCTTCGGCACCCCAAAACCATGCGGTGACGGACCGCGTGGTAACCTCGGAATCCATGACGACCTCACCACGCGGTCCGTCACCGCACGGTTTTGGGACCCTGGAAGCCCCAGTCGCCGAGACGTTCTCGGAGAACGACCCGAGCCCCCAAACCCTCAATGGCTCACCACGTGGTGTGGTCACCACAAGTTGGAGGCCTCTGTCTTACCGTTGCCTCTGCCTTAGAATAATACCAGCCATCGTAAGAGTAATACTTTTCATACGAATAACACGAATACTAGTACTAATAATAAGTATCTAGTAATACAAATAATACGGATACTAGTACGAAGAGTCACCGCACTGAGACGAACTTAATACGATTCATAACCATCACGCCAACCGTCGCACTATTAGGAGGTATACCACGACTTATACTAATAATCGTAGTCGTACTAATACTACGATTACGAATGAGAACACGACCACTGCGAATCACTGGACTATTAATGTTATTAGTGTACCAATGCTATGATACATTTTATGAATAGTACTACTATTTCTACGACGGCTACTACTACTACTACTACTACTACTACTACTACTACTACTACTACTACTACTACTACTACTACTACTACTACTACTACTACTACTACTTCTACTACTACTACTACTACTACTACTACTACTACTACTACTACTACTACTACTACTACTACTACTACTACTACTACTACTACTACTACTACTACTACTACTACTACTACTACTACTACTACTTACGTACTACTACTTACTACTTACTTACTTACTACTCTTACTAGCTCTACTTCTTACTACTACCTCCTACTACTACTACTACTACTACTACTACTACTACTTACTACCACTACCTACTAGTACTACTTTACTACTACTTATACTACTACCCACTACTCCCTACTACTACTACTACTCTGCTGCTGCTGCTGCTGCTGCTCCCCCTCCTCCTCTCCTCCTCACTCGTACTACTACTACTACTACTACTGACTACGACGATACGATATACTACTACTACTACTACTACTTTACTCCTTAGGCCTACTTACTACTACTACTACTACTACTACTCCGGCTAATCCTGCTATGACTGCTGCTGCTGCTTGCTGCTGACTATAACTACTACTACTACTACTACTACTACTACTACTACTACTACTACTACTACTACTACTACTACTACTACTACTACTACTACTACTACTACTACTACTACTACTACTACTACTACTACTACTACTACTACTACTACTACTACTACTACTACTACTACTACTACTACTACTACTACTACTACTACTACTACTACTACTACTACTCTCACTATTACTAGAGCAACTCTTTTTTTCCATACAGCAGGGACATGATTCGGACGAAAACCTCGACACGTCTTGGCCAGAGGTTAAAGTTTGCACGCTCTCTCACTCCTCCCTGGGAGGGAGGGTGGGGGCCGAAGACAGGCTATGGAGAGAGGGGGAGAGGGGGCAGACAAGGGGGAGAGCGGGGTTCCGATGTTTGAACTCCTGGATCGTTTAGCAGGTCTGATTGTGTGATTGTGGCTATACATCACCGAATTACAAAAGCCCAACCTCAAACCGTTCAAGAACATATAGAGCAACTCTTTTTCCATACAGCAGGGACATGATTCTGACGAAAGCCTCGAAGCGTCTTGGCCAGAGGTTAAAGTTTGCACGCTCTCTCACTCATCCCCGAGTTTCCCGAATTCGGGAGTTTACTCGGGTTGGGGAGGGTGGGGGCATTTGTTGTGCCCGAACGCAGCAATACTGGAGGCCGTGAGGGCCCACATCATACAGTGTGCGAGCGTCGGCGGATAAGCGGCAGCTGGACGAGCACGGGCACTTCCTTCAAGCTGAAAATGAGGAAGTCCCGTGAGCGAGCATCTCCCGTTCCGGCCACGGCATTTCCTACAGAGGTCTCTGAGATCATCCTCCACTACATGGCTAAACATCAGTCTAGTCGGCTTCTTACATGGGGCTCCGAATTGACATTGATCTAGTTCTACAAGGCTGACCCCAGGAAGGAAGGCCAGGGCTTGGATCTCGCGAGCGTGCCACAACCGAGAAGTGAGCGGGTGCTCGAGAAACGCAGGGACCCTGAGCTGCTGAAAAGCGGCAAAAAGGCCTATGGCAGCCTTGACGATACGATTGCCTTCGCGGACCTTCTCCGCATCTGGTCCGCTCAGCAGCGGCCTGGGCAAACCCCAGGGCCTCTCTTGAGAGCGAATCTTCGAGGTGCGATCGCGTGCGATCGAGAACGTCTGGCACGAGGGGGCAAGCGCTGCCGCCAAGATGCGGCCGCGCCGAGCCTCGCGTCGGATCGGGGCAAGGACTCGAGGGGCAGTGAGGTCCTGCCAAGCTGCGTCGTGAGCCTTGTCCCAACTACGGCATCTGAAGCCGAGCGTCTCGCCAGCCCTCGAGATGCATCTGCTGCCGGCGAAGAGATACGCTATGTAACGCCCTGTCAATGCAAAACGTTGAGACGCGAGGCTCTTGCTCCTACAACCACGGTGCGTGCGCCTCAGCTTGGAGCGCGGGCCTGCCAGGCCAACATCTCCTGACGGAAGCAGACTGGATGAGCAAGGCCCAGCATGATCTGCATGAGGTGAGCTTCGCAGGACTCGTGCAGCCCCCTCTGGTCTGGCGGGTAGCGCTCGTACTCGGCGCTGAGGCGGCTGCTGTGCTCGTACCGGTGCATGCTCCGCGCCTGGGCACAGCCTCCGCGGCGTCGGACTTCCTCGAACGTCCGTGCACGCCGGCCCACGTCGATGCCGGCGCCTGAATGACGCAGTTGGTACAAAGTTATCTTCCCAGCGCCGACCTCGGCGGCGGCCAGCGACGCGGCCTCCGAGAGCTCCAGGTAGTTGAACGGCCGCAGCTTCTCCGCCCCTCCGGCAGCTCGCAGATGGGCGAAGAGGGGGCCCAGACCTCGCAGGTAGCTCGAGTCCAGCAGGCATCCCTCGTCGTAGCGATTCGTCTTGCTCGGCCTGCCTTCCTCCTCCGGGTGTGTGAGGAGGTCCCAGCTGTCCACCGCTGCACGAGACGGAGGCGCCAGGTCGCACTTCCGAGCGGCCAGGAAGGAAGATGGCCTCGGATAGGCCGAGAGGCCGACCGCCAGGAACAGGGCCATGAGCGCAAGCCCCTTGTCCACCAGGCGCCACATCACGGCCGCCCAGACTGCGAGGGGCAAGGCCCAGCGGGTGCGCGACGGCGTCAGCCGCCTCCAGGCCTTCAGAGCCCGCCAGGTGCGCGGCAAGGTCCGACCCCCCCAACGGCCGAAAGTCGGGTGCCTGTCCAGCAGCGCGGCCCCGGTCTGGTCCCCGAGGCTGCTCTGCTCGCCCGCAAGGTACATCGTGGTGAAGTAGTCGCAGAGGAGGCAGTCCACGTGCTCGTCCTTGGCCTGCGCCAGCTTCTCGTCGGTCAGGCCTGCATGCGAGTAAAAGGGATCGAGATACTTGGCGTGGCGGTCCCTCGTGCGGCGCGTCGCCGCCAGGCGCTCCAGCAACGTTCCCCCCTCCAAATTGCCCTGCGTGATCAGGTCCGCGTAAGGCGCCGCTCGCCGTCGGCGCCGGGAGTCCTGGAGGACGCGGGGCCTCCGCTGAGCCGCGCTCGCATGGTTCGCGACGCTGTCGGAGCCGCTCGTGTCGAGCTCGCCCTCGCCGTCCGCCGCGTCTACGCTGGCGGAGGCCTCGGGCGCGAGGTCGGTGAGCGTCAGCGGGGCAGGCAGCGGTGGCATCGCAGAGCCTGTCTCCAGGCGGGCCCGAACGCTCCTCACCTTCGGTAAGGGCGGGCCCAGCCTCCCCAGCGTCCTCGCCTTCGCGGCCGGCAGCGCCTTCGAGCACGCGGCAGGTCTCGCGTCTGGCCTCGGGAGAAACCGAGGCGGCGCCTGAGGGCCCGCCGCCGCAGGCGGCCGCGGCACCCGAGCCCGCGTCTAGGACAGGAGACCCCTCAGGGATGCTGGCGAGGCGAGCTGAAACATCACTGGAGCCAAAACGGCCACGGAAGGGGGACGCGGTGGCTGAAACACCGTGCAAAACCTGCTGATCCAGGACATCGGTTAACAATTTAGACGAGACTTCGGAATGATCACGGCTCCCGGCATCGCTCTGGTTAAATTTCGATGGGGGCCCACCTGAAGTACGGGGCGATACCGAGGGCCAGGGCGCGCGCATTGAAGCGACGTATCTGGGCTAGCAACTTAAAGTCGTGACTCCTCGAACGGGCGAAGGCGAGAACAACGGCCATGTTATCGCGCATGAAGAGCTGTCTGATGCAGGCGCCGTGCCTGGTTCGAGCGAGCCTGCGCATAGCCTTCGCCAGGGCCCGGGCCTCCACCACCAAGATGCCCTTCTCTAAGGCCCAGACGCCCTTTCGAGGCGTCTTCCATGCGGAGGCGCGGAGGAGCTGCCAAAGGACCTCTGGGAAATCCGCCGCGACCTCCCAGTCGCCAAGGCGACGCTCATCCCCGACAATGCTGCTTCTCCACTCGCCGTCTTCATCGCGGAAGAGGTGGGTGGAGGTGAGTGCGGACTCCCGAGCCGAGTGGGGGCCAACGCGTGTAGACCGAGCTCGCTCGCAGACGCGGCCCACGCGGGCCACCTGCGAGGGGTCCCAGAAACTTTGAGCCATCGCCCAGCCCGCCAGGCTGGCGTCGGTCTCCAGGACACGCGGGTTCCAAGGGATCCACCCATCTCGACCCAACAGCAGAAGGGCCCCTCTGAAGGCCCGGAGCTCCTCGACCACTTCGGGCCATAGGGGGCCTACTACTAGGTAGCTGCGTCGAAATATACTTACAACTCCTGTGAAAAATTGAGAGGGGCTCACGAGCTGCCAATCCACAGGAGGTACAGTTTCCGATTATTTTTTCAAGGGCTCGGCCGCTGCAGCGGCTCCGAGACAACGGCCCCGTCAGACCGCGCTCCAGCTTCCAGAAGCGGGCCGACGTCGCGGTCGACCGGAGGCGGCCCCCGTCGAGCTCCGTGCCGAGGGCCTCCCCCCAGCCGCCGTGGGGCTCCGACTTGTGGAGGGCCAGCCCGACCGGCTCGAACAAATCGCTCCACTCGGACACCGTCCTGTCGCTGAGGGCGACGTCGCCGCTGACGGCGCCCAAGTTGTCGACGTAGACGTAGGCCCCGCCCTCGCCTCGAGCCGAGGCGCGAAGCACGAAAGCCTCCGCCTTGTCCTGTATCAGGGGCTGCTCTCGGCCGGCCGGCACCGCCTCCTGGAGGCTGACGCTCCGGCAGACCCTGTCCTCGTTGGCGGCCTGGGCCAGGTGCAAGGGCCGCGTGAAGCCCGTCGGCAGGGCCCCCAGGCAGGGGTGCACCATCGCGTCCGAAGCCGCCTCGGTGGGGAGGCCGGCGACCGGCAGCCCCTCGAGCGCGTGCCGAGGGGCGGCCGGCAGGCAGAAGTGCCGGCCGAGGTCCTCGTGGATACGCATCCTGTAGAAGCAGTCCTTGACGTCGGTCGTGGTCACATGCACGGAGAAGGCGTCCAGCAAGCGGCGGCCCTCCTCGGAGGAGGGGTGGATCCTGGGCGGCAGCTCGACCTCGATGCGCCCGAACCCCTCGCTGCTCAGAAGTCGCACGCATGGCGGCGCTCTGAAGTGGCCGTTGCTGCGCCTCGCGTCGATGATCAGCCGAAGAGCGCCGCCCGACTTCGCCGCGAAGAAGATGCCCGCCGACTCGGCGGGCCTCGAAGTCACTCCAATAAGTCCACGTCTAGCAAGATCCCGCGCGAACTTGCGGTGGCACTTGGAATTCCTCTTCAGCATAGGGTCCATGTAGACACACGGCATGCTGTCGAAGTCAACTGCCTCCGGCTCCAACCTCGTTCGCTTCTGATCCTCCTCCAGAAAGAGACGGCAGTCGGGGCTCGCGATGCCCTCTAGGAAGCGGCGCTCCAGCGCGCTCTCGGGAAGCGAGACCTTGCCAGGCTGGTAGGAGACGAGGTTCCTCGGGGCGACGTCCGTCTCGTACACGGACTGCCCCCGGAGCAACTCTCTGAGGGCTGCCTCCGCCTTGGGCAGCGTCGGGGGGGCTGCGGCCTGGCGCCGATGAGCCTCGCGCCACAAATGCTGCTGAAGGGCTGCGTGCTTGGCCAGGGTCGAGGCGCCCGGCTGCGGTGTCGACGACGCGCCCTTGAAACCGGCCATCCAGTTCAGGCTGGCCAAGGCGCGGTTCACAAATTCTGAGACCTGCGCCCGCGGGCCAGAACGCCTGGCTCCTGCATCGACGGCGCCGGGAACAGGTCTCTCAAAATCGGACGGCGGCAACGGAGAGGCGCGGGCCTGGTCCTGCTCCCAGCCGGGGGGGGGCCCAATCCCCCGGCTGACCCGTCTCGGTCATGATTGGACCGGCGGGGGGAGCCCTGGCGTGCGACCGCGGCCGCGGCCGCGTCCCCGCCCCTTGGCATCCCCTCCGCCGGCCCCCGCGGCGCCGCCGCTGCTGGTGGTCTGGCCGCCGCGCCCGGCGTGGCGCGAGAGTCGACGGCCTCCGCTTTCTTCATGGACTGCTCCACCTCCCAGTCCTCCTTGGCGCGGCGGGCCGGTGCCGGCAGCTCGTCCGCCTCGCCAAGCGGCGTCAGGTACTTGGCGTTGGCGATGGACGGGGCCCCGCCGCGCTTGTAGGCGTCCACGATGGCGTTGAGCCGGCGGGCGACGACCTCGAGGCAGGCGAGGCCGCCAAGGCTCAGCTGGTCGAAGCAGCCGGCCTCCTCGAGCGCCTCCGTCAGGGGGGGCCGCAGCTCGTGGGCCACCCAGTCGGTGGGCGCATGTTCTCCTCTCTCTCAAGAACTTCTCAAGCCGCGCTCGTGGGGTGCCCGACGTGCGGTACATCATCTTGCACGTGTGGAGGCGCGTCAAGCCCCCGTCGAGTCGCTGATGACCCCAGTCGTGGCTCACCGACTCGTTGATAGCCTTCCTGAACTCCTTGAACCGCTCTCCCAGGTCGTCCCACTCGACCCAGAGGGTTCTCGTGTCGTCGCCGCTTCGCTCCTCTGACCTCAGGCCGCCGTCGCCGGCGTCGGCTCCCGCGTCGCGGTCGCCTGGCCCTGGCGGTAGCGCATCTCCGCCTGGAGCAGGTCCGGCGCCGAGGGCCAGGGGCCCATCGCCAGGAGCAGCGGCCGGCGGCGCCATCTCCAAGAGGCGGCGCAGCTCCTCCACGCGACGAGACGTCCAGTCGACCACCTCAGCCTCTGGCATCTGCTCCACTCGCCATGCTCGGCCGCGCCGGTGCCAGAGGGCGTCGATCCCAGAATCTCCGTCGAGGCGTCCGCGATGGAGCCGATCGGCAGCCCAGGCGCGGGCTCCGCCAAGGCCCACACGTGGCCCTCTGGCGGAGGCGTGGGCGCCCCCGCAGGGGCCGCGGCCAGGGCGTCGCCCGCGTCGCTGCCCGCGAGAGGGCGCACCGGCAAGGCGGGCACGCGCGGCGGTGGGGCCCACGGGAACACCTCGCCAATGTCCAGCAGGACACCCGACGGGAGCTCGATCCTGGCCGGCGCCTCTGCGGGCGTCTGCCCGCGAACCTCCATCGCAGCCCTGCACTCCTCCGCCAGCTCCACCAGCCGATTCAGCGTGAGCCTCTCCCTGAAGCCGTAGAGCTTGCAGTTTCCCGCGGGCGGAGCGGCGTCGGCTGCCAGGCGCTCGCCGCCGGAGGGGCCGTCGGCCGGGGAGGCTCCCGACAGAAGCTCCTCCCACAGGTCCCCGTCCGGCGAGAGCACCCAGTACAAGTGCGAATCGACAACCTCGCCGTCCTCCTCGCGCCTCGACGGCCATGCAGAGACCCGTTCGTGATCCACGAGGTCGCCGAGGTAGCTCACCTTGGCGCGCGCCCCGCAGGGCAGGTCAGCGCACCACTCCTCCCCCGCGGGCAACGGGGGCAGGGGTGCCCAGCGCCCGCGTCGGCCCAGCATGTCGTCGAAGGCCTGGGCGACTCGAGCTGCCACAGCACCGATCGGTCAACTAGCCACGCTGGCGTGAGAAGACCCACGTGCACGTGCACCGCCAGAGCCCTCAGCTCCTCGTCGCCCTGCTGCTCCGGGCACACGCAGGGCTCGCAGTCCGTCGGCGGCGGCGGCGGGGGCGGCGGTGAGGCTGCCACGTCGAGCGCCGCCCGAGCCGCCGACTCGGCGTACAGGACTGCGGAGGAGGCCGCCTCACAGGCCTCCGCGACCTCCTCGAGCCACGCTGGAGACACGGGCAGCGGCTCGGGCACCAGAGGCGGAGGAGCCACACGCCACCCTAGCCCCGCGAGCAGCGCCAAGCTCAAGGCCGGAAGCACCGCAGCGGAACCTGGGGAGAGCATGCGGTGCTCCGCCCGTTCTGAACCGAAGACAGGCTATGGAGAGAGGGGGAGAGGGGGCAGACAAGGGGGAGAGCGGGGTTCCGATGTTTAACTCCTGGATCGTCTAGCAGGTCTGATTGTGGCTATACATCACCGGATTACAGAAGCCCAAACTCAAACAGTTCAATAATATATATATATATATATATTACTATTCCTATTCCTATTCCTATTACTATTAATATAATTACTACTACTACTACTACTACTACTACTACTACTACTACTACTACTACTACTACTACTACTACTACTACTACTACTACTACTAACTACTACTTCTACTACTACTACTACTGCTGCTACTACTACTATGACTACTAC